GTGAAAACCCCTTTAAATTCTACAGGTGACAGCAACACCCTGCAACACTGGCCAAAGCTTCATAATTCTAAAGGTGTGGTTAATGACTAGATTGCTGTCATGTGTTCCTTGGGGGATGGGGGGGTCCGCAGGCCCCTTTTGCCCTAGGCCTCCTAAGTCCCTTTGAACGCTTGTGCTGATAAGTGCTGAGCTCTGTGCTTACTGTCATCATGTGCTTTCCAGCTTGAGGACCGTCTTTTTTTGTTAACGCCTCTGCCTCCAGCTCAGATAAGGTCCTGTTCAGGTCTCCTTCCAAATCAGACTGAAATAAAAAGACAGACAGACATATTCCGATTCACACATTCATTTAACACGTCTGTTTTATCAGCTGGCCGATTAAATCAGCCCATATGAGCTTTTCACAGACGTATCGTTATCTGCGCTTGTTTGATGATATTTGATGAGGTTTTGCATTTGTTTATTTTCTTAATTCAAGTTCTATATATTATATTTACTAAATTTATATTACATTTATTGGCCGAACTGTAAAATATTTAGCGATTAATTCAATTTCTTTAACATGAGGGTTTGATACAGAAATTAACTCAACCTTTTTTAGATATTGGCCGATTACATGAGTATCAGATATCGTTTACTCCCTACAGTATCAGTATCGGACCCAAATAATACACTATAGTCTGCCTCAAGTGTTTTGAATGAAAGTTGTTTGGTTTTCCACAGAGAGTCTGAGGCACTTAGTAAAAGAAAGGTGAAATTTAAGTGTATTGTGTTTACGCTGTGATTTGAGTAAACCAACCACAATGCCATTGCCATTGCAGACAACCGCTTCAATCTTCTTGGACAAACACTTGCTCTTCATCTTTGGCTGTTTGCTCCTCCAGCCATCCTGGCTGCAGAGCTGTCGACCAGTCACGTCCTGAGGATCCTGAGGCTCGTCCGGGTCACGCACCCCTCGGGGTGGCGGCCTCTCTCTGAGCACTTTCATATTGATGCAGCTCCCAGCATTCCTGAGGGCGCTGACTGCCTCATGGTGGGTCGCCCATTGCATGTTGAGGCCGTCGACCTGGAATGACCGTGGTCACATTTTTCAGAGGTCAGTAAATTCGAGCACAAGTCAGAGGTGGAGAATTGTATCACACACACACACACAGTTTCCTGTCTATTTTTGTGAGAACACTCATTTACATAATGCATTCCGTAGCCCCTTACACTAACCTGGTCAATCACAACTAATTACCAAACCAAACCTAATTCATCCAAAACAAAGTCTTAACCCAAAAAATCCACACTTCAATCAATCAATCAAACTTCATTTGTAAAGCACCATTCATAAAGATTTTTGCTTCACTAATGCTTTCCCTAAATATCCTCACTCCGTAACGTCTAATAGATAAACTAGGTAAAACTAAGTACACACACACACACACACACACACAGAGAGAGAGAGATGCACATAGTCTTCAGAGGACAACCCTAATATAAATCTGAATTTAAACAGTAACCTAAACTTTGCCAAACCCAAACCTTAACTAACCTGAACCTCAACCTCAAGTTAAACCTAATCTTAATATATGTCTTCACCTTCAAAGTTAATGATTTATGTTATTGAGACTTGCTTTCACACAGCATTGGGAATCTTCACATTTTGAATTTGCTGTTTTATATTCATCAGCCTCTCCTTTGCTTTAACCACTAAAGAAAAGTCTCAGCTGAGTGGTCTCATGATGCCCTCTATTGGTCACAAAAGGAACAACATCATGAAGTAGATGGGTCTCATAGTGATGTCCCTGTGGACTGTATGTCATGTCCATTCATTCCACAATAATTCTCACGTGGACTTCTATATTTATAATAAAAACAAATGAGAGAAAACAATCTCTACGCACCTCCAGCAGTCTGTCTCCAACATGGACCCCTGCCTTCTCTGATGGTCCCCCTCGTGTTACTCTGGAGATAAAAATGCCCTGTAAGGTAATAGATAAATCAGCCTGAATAAAAATGCTTCTCATTAACCTCTCTCAAGCCAAACAAACATATATTGACATGCTGATATTGGCCAGTGGCTGCTCTCCTGCGTCACCTCTTACCTCATCATGGTCTTTGTAAGGCAATGAGCCTTTCCCACCAGCGATGCTGATCCCGAGACTTCCCCTCTGGCCAGACACTTTAATCTGTAACTAAGACAGAAATTGTTTCATTACATTACATTTAAAAAGCCAGAATTTATCTGCAGCTCACAAATAAGTGCAGCAAAAGCACTTGAGGGTGAAGACAGAAATTCAATTAGCCACAATCAGATTTTCCTACAGTGCTTATAGTTGTGCAACCCTGCAGGGATAATTTGACATTTAGGGGGGGGGATAGTGTGCAGTTACTCTTAATGGCACTTGGGAGATGAGTGATTCCTGAGGAGGGGTCTTTTCTGTCACCGGAGCAGGTTTCAGACGCCCAGTGTTGGAGGAGATCTTTATGTTGTGGAAGGGGTCTCCATGGAGACCGGAGGCAGCATTAAGAGCTCCACGATGCTGAGATTTCCTGCCCTCTCGTGTCTCACATCTCTTGTGGCGAAGGAGTCGTGGTGGGGTTGCGGTTTCTGACAGCTGGGCCGCACCGTCCTGGTGATTAGAAACAAGTGGAGGCTTTTACTGTCTGCAGGATGCATGAGTGGAGACTAAATACATCAATTTGAAATCATTTGCAATATGAGAGATTTCTGAGGGATGAAATATTCAGTTAAACCTTCTCTTGGCACATGTTGTACTATGGCAAATCTGGAATAAGCAGAAACCTGCAACATGACTTATGATATAATAATATAATAAAGATGTTTGTCCCTAACATTAACTGACTAAATTAAAATCCTGACCTCCTCTGGTTGCTCAATTTCCTCTGCATCCTTCTCTGTGCCGGAGCAGCGACCACACGCACAGTCGCTGGATGGGAACGTTTGAGGTCCCCCCTGCAGACTCTCTTTGCTCGCCACCCGGCTGCAGCCCGGGGCGGCCCGGGTTAGGCTGCTGGTCCTGGGGGGCGGTTTAATGTGAGGATTTCTACTCTCCCGGAGGAAGTCAGGGGGCACCACCTGTTGCTGGAAATTTAATTTCAAAGTAATGGCTTGAGGGAAATGACCAGTGGTAAATAAGCCTCATGAAAGCATCCCATCATCTTTAATGTAAGCTGGGTGGAATCTTATTGAGAGCAGCTGAAAATCCAACACACAGGATAAAACCCCGCCTGACTATTCATTTAGCAAACGTGTTCTGTGCACCAGGAGTACTAATTATTTTATTTTCTTGGTAGAATAACTGTTTTGAAAACCAAAAAGAAAAGCTGGATCCCTAAAACCTATTTCTTTATTTGTGTCACTCTTTGCAGGACTTTATCAGGAAATGTGTTTTGGTCTCATTGAAGAAGGTTTCACAGTGAAGGCCAAATGAAGTACCACTCCATTCATTAATACCAACAGGTTAGTACCTTAAACTGAACACCAGTAACAGCTCTTCAATAAAAATAACAAAGTCTTACAGGTATTAGTATAAACATATTATTATTAAATAGCTGATTCTGTCAAGGGAATTGTAGTTAAACATCAGTTTGCTGATCTTCACATGGCTAATGAAAAATAAATAATCACTGTCATTAGTTCCTTGGATTTGTAGTTTCACTATATTGGGGATTTGATGAGCACAAATGGATAAAAAATGTATAAGTACACATAAACATTCATTTACTAACATATTGATAACATGGCAGCATCAGTACATTCAGAACGTGCAGGGCAGACAAGTCATATGTGGCACATGCTGGTAAACGTCACAGAAACATCATGCACTGCTGGACACACAAAACAAGCGATGGAGGGAACGGGTTATGGAACATCCATCTTATCAATGTATTATTTTATTGATCATTATTTTGTGGATAGTGAGAAAGATCACACCAAATGCATTGACATTTAGAAGTTAGGTATATTAAACTCAACTGAGAAGACAGTCTTTGGCTGACTAATCAAATTGAAGGAATAACAAACATGTAGTTTGGTGTTGCACTCATTTTATTGATCAGTGGTTAAAAACTCATCCAGATCTTGGGGCCCAGTGCCCGTGTTGAGATCCGTCTTGTGCAGTTTGATCAGAAAATAATTAAAAACATAAAAACCAACACTTGAACCAATTTCGCTGGTCCACGTTTTTGCAATCAGTTTAAAACAAAAATAATACAACTTATCATGTACCATATAAAATAAGAATAAGATCTGAGAAACACTGAGAAGTGCATTAAAGTGGAACTTCTAAAAACTGCATTTTTAGAGGATGTCGTTCTTATGGTACAAACCTCGCTCTCACCAAATGTCCGAAGGTTATTCTAAACAGTAAGGGAAACCTTTTCAAAATAAAATACAGCTGGTTTTGGCATCTATTTGAGAAAATATGGCAAAGCATTGAAGCACAGCACATATAAATAAAATAGCATTTGTTATTCTGTGTAATTACATTGCAGGTGAGTCTTTTAGGTGTGATGAACAGCACTTAAATCCAAACTTAATTAATTAAATCAAATATTCATTATCCAAAATAAAAGTCTAGATATTTTACACATAAACAAAAAGAGGATTCAAGGCCATCCACTCACCAGATGACAGTTTGTATAAGACATTAGTGACTGTGTTTTGTTCATTGCTTTGATTTAAAAAGAAAAAAGTACCAAGTTTCAAACAGAGAAAAAAACGTTTGAAAATCTGAAACTGATTAAGAAAATTACTATACATTTTATTTACATCCGAGCTGCCGAAAAGTATAAAAGTATCAATATACACAAAAGACTATACAA